TGAGTCTGCCCCCAGCCAGGCTCAAGACGAACATATGCCCCTAATACACTAATGGGGCATCCTAAAAACTACCCCTGACAGTCCTGACCCAAACCACTGGTCTGAACTGAAAGGTAAGCCCACTGGCTTTAACAAAAACTCCCTTTTGGACCCTTCCACATGAAAGAAAGGGAAAATAGGACACTGCCCCTTCAAGAGGGGAACCCTTTCCCCATACCTCAGGCCAGGCAAACGCTCATGGCAGCCCTCATTTTGTAAACCCCAGTTCTGGGTTATATCCCCATAAGCTCCCAGAGTCTCACTGGTAACCCCAAGGGAACTCAGCAGTTGCTGAGGCTTTTCTCAGCAACTCCCAGGGCCTGACCCCCTACTCTGGTTCTGGCTCTGGCTTATATATCCAGAACCCTCCCCGCTTCTGGTCATGTGTTCTTTTAGCTAACGTGAGGGCAAGCTGCTTATTAAGCCCAGTATGGCCTGCTGTCCTTGTCTGGTTAACAACAATCCTTCCTTTAAAGATGAGGGGATGCTTGTGTTCTAACAGATGAATAGTTTTTTCATAGTAGGTGACATCTCAGATAAGTTTCTCACGGATGAGAAGTAATTCTCAACTTATTGGGCCCTGGGCTGCTGGTTCTGAAGTCATTAAAATTAAGTCATTATCTGCTTCACCCTCACTACTTGCTCCCACTCCTACTGAGATAAATGTCTCTGCTTGTTTGTGCTTGTTCCCTCTCCTGCAGCCAACTAGCTGCCCTGTTGACTTCTGCAAATGCACAGAAAATGCCAGCATGAATTAAGGAACTCTGGGACGTGTAGTTCTTCAGAGACCATATCTCTTAGGAAGGTGCACTACTCTCTCTCTCTCTCTCTCTCTCTCTCTAACAAGAAGTCCTAGAGTTTCAATAAAGAAATATCATCATTCCTAAGTCCTAGAGAGAGACTGTGTCAGGGAAAACCCTGGGACAGCTGGATTTCAATATTTTTTAACTTTTAACTTATTTCAAAAAAAGTTAAAGTTAACCTTTTTTTAACTAGTTAAAGTTAAAAGTTAGCTATTTCTTTAACTTGTTAACTAGTTAAATAACTAGTTAATTCCCATTACTGAGTATTTGTCATGTATGTAAATATGAAGGTGTCCATTTAAAGGTGACTACAGCACTTTGAGCACCTTCTCAAACTCTTTTATTTGAATGTTATTTTCCATTTGACCAGAGCTAATATTTACATTAAAGTTCTGTATTCTTTCAGATTTGAGCTGTCTTTCAGATGCTGCTGCCATTAAACATTTTTTTTTACTGATTGGAGGGACACAGTCATTTCTTGTTTTCTTCTATACTTTAGCTTTCCTTTTGTCTCCCTCTGCTGGATTTCTTTTTCCTTTGCTCAGATTAGTTTGGCTGGTTTGAACACCAGTATTTGTGAGTACCGGCTGTTCTACCTGCCCTATTAAAGAGAGCTGAATGTTTTGATGATTTTTATGCTGTGATCAATCTTATACATGATTCAGCAGGTATAAGAGAACAATTTAGGATTATTTCTTGTGAAAATTTCACGGAAGAATATTTGGTAATTTTGCTCACTTTGAAGCAACTGTAAAACATTTTTAAAGCAAAACTGGATTATAATGATGTGGAAAAAGAGCACAATAATGGGAGAAGGACTGTTATTCTTAAGGAGGATAGATTAAAAGGTAGAGTAACTCTTTTGTATATGCTTTCAATGCAGGTTTCCTATTTTTACTGCACTACAGTTAGTGCACCATCCTGTACATCAACGGTGCACCATAGGAAAACAGTAGAATGGTCATCTTCTAGTAATGTGACAATATTCACAGTACCTAGCACAGTGTTTCTCAACCAAGGTCTCACAAGATCCTTTTAGGGGTACTGCAGTGTGCCACACAATATTACCACTGTTAAATATGTAAACACTTATACATGACTCAAAAGATAAACCCAGAGATTTCAAATAGGAATCTATACTGTCAACAACATTCTGACCTGTTGTGGTCTTTCTGAGTTCTTTGCAACAGAAGAATTGCTGTGTTATTTTTCTGTAGTCAATAACCAAGTAAAAGCTAAGAGTTGACATTTTCTAAGGGGTGTCTTGCATCTAATGAATGATGCTTTGATCCTAAAAAGTTTGAGAACCACTAACCTACCAGAGGTTGATTTTAAAATGGGACCCTCTATTTAAATCACAACAGCCCTGCTATAGTTTGAGCTATTTTTTATACTGTATCTTCATTTTGGAGGTTTACTATTTGTCCCCTGGCCATTTCCCTAGGATAAAACTTGATATAGGGCATGCTACACATGATATTAGTCCAACACTCCTGGGTGTCGCATTTACACGTGCGCCTGGGACCACAACACGTTGAGCTGGCTCAGAGCAGCCCTGGCTGGCAGAGGCCCAGGGGGCCAGCCTGCCAGCCCGGGGCTTCTCCAGCCCAGCTCAGCATGCTGTGGAGGGGCTAACTAGGGCATAAGGGTGCTCCAGTGCAGGGCTAGCTGGCAGGCAGCCCTTGCACTGGAGCACCCTCGTGCCCCAGCCTGCCCTGTCAGCGTCTACATGTGTATTGCAGCACACTAACACCACTGCAGCATGCTGTGGAGGGGCTAGCTAGGGCATAAGGGTGCTCCAGTGCAGGGCTAGCTGGCAGGCAGCCCTTGCACTGGAGCACCCTCATGCCCCAGCCTGCCCTGTCAGCCTCTACATGTGTATTGCAGCACACTAACAACACTGCTGTAGAATAGTACTTGTGTTTACAAGTACTATGCTATGGTGGCATTTATTAGTTTACTGTGGCCTAATAGGGCTGCATGTGTAGATGCTGAGACTTCACTGCAGAGATAGTCATCTGTGCAGTAAACATCTTGTGTTGATGTGCCCATAGAAACTGATATTAAATGGCTTAAATTATTTTACAATTTTGATTAGCTATAGCCTGGATTGGCCAGGAGCCTACCGGAATTGGCATCAATCTCCTGGTGACTATTGAAAGCAATCCGGGAGATTGTTATTGTGAACAGGTTGAACAGTGCAATTGATGACTAGAGGTGCACCGATACATTGGTCCCATATTGGATTGGCATTGATATAAGGAATATTGACAGTATTGGCAATTGGCTTTTTTTGGCTGGTTTGGCCGACAATGTCACCGATAAATGCCCTGTGTGTGCACCCAGCCGCAGCATAACATGCAGGAGGCCAGGAGCACAGCCTGACAGCGTGGAGAGCAGCTGGGTCCAACTGGTAAGTTTGTTGAGGGAAGAGGAGTGGAGGGGGGGCGGGGGGCAGATCGAGGCCCCACTAGTGAGGAAGGGAGTGGGGCTGGGGTTGGGGCAGGCGCTGCACAGCCAGGGCAGAGCGTGGGACGGAGCTGCGAGCAGCTCATCCGGGGGGTGTGGGAAGCGGGTGGTGGCTCCTGCTGCTGCACGCACCCCGGGAGCGCATGGGTGGTGTGTGCCTGGACCTGTGTGGGACTAGGGTGGGCTGCCTCTGGACTGGGGCTGGGGTGGTGCCAGGCTCTTCCCAGCAGGGGGTTGGGCCTGGCTGTGCTGGGGGCGGGTGGCAGCGCTGCAACAGGGGCTACTGTGAACTTTGGGGTGGCTGCAGCCCACTCCCCCATAGCCCCGCTCCCAGCACTGCTGTCGCCAGCCCCGAGTGCAGCCCAGCCCAGCCCAGCCCCCCACCAGGAAGAGCTCACTGCTGCCCTGGCCCCAGCCCGCAGCAGCAGCTCGCCCTCACCGATCTGGGGGCACATGCCTTTGCCGAAGTGCGCGTAGTGCCACAACTTGGTCACAACTCTGCAGTTGTTAGTATGATATGAGCTTACGGCATTAGTCAGAGGCAGGACAGAAGGTCCATCCTGACGCGTGCAATACAAGACAATTGGGAAATGGGAGCCAAGAGTCAAATAGCTGCTGAGATCACTGTTCTTAAGGCTTGAGGAGGGAGGAAGGCAGAGAAATATGCAGCTAGCATTGAAGCTATTCCCGAAGGAGTATGCTTTACAGTATGAATGCCGCGTGCCCCCGGAGGCTGGGGGGGCACAGGAGCTCCTGCAGGCGGTAATGACACTGGTGGTGGTGGGAGTGTGGTGGCAGCAAGTGGGGAGCTCCCACAGCTGTTGGGTGTTGGGAGTGGGGGTGACGAGCACCGACCAGTGCTCAGCGACCACCTGCAGATGCCGCCGGCAATCACAGATCATCCATGGGTGCCGCCAGTGGTGTTGGTGGCGAGTGCCCACAGTGTCAGTGGCACCTTTTGCACGGGGTGCACTGCCATGTTCAGAGGGTGCAGTGCACCTGCTATGCATCACCAATGCCGGAAGGAGTATGCTTTTTGGTATAAATGGTGTTGGCTTTGTTTTAATTTTAAACTGCTCTTAAGGGGCTTGGGAGAAAGGGTGGAGAGGAGCCTGGCCTCGGGAATCAGTGCTTGGAGGCATCCCAAATGCCCAAGGCAGCCTGGATAAAGAGGGCATAGAGCTAAGGGGGCGGCAGAGGTGGGAGCGGCGAAAGGAGCCGAGGGCCGCAGGGGAAACTGTGGGGAGGGGAGCGTGTTACCAGCGCACCATCCATTTGCCGTGAGGATCAGCACCCCCGAGCACAGCGCAGCCGGCAGTGCGGAGCAGTGACCACACAGCTGTTGTCCAGCGCCCAGCTTCACCTCGTCCTCGTCGCACCCGCTATCCTCTGAGCCTGGGTCCCCCGCGACAGAGCAAGACACCTCCCTTCCCGGCTCCTCCACCGCCCCACGCGGCGCGTGACGTCACCGTTGGCTGCAGCCAATCGCGGGCGGCGCGGCGCATTCGAACCAAGCGCTGGAGCGCGGCGGCCGGTTGCGGCGGAGCGGAGGTGAGCGAGCGGGAGAGGGCGGTGGAGGGGAGTTGGAGCGCTGAGGGGAGCGCGCCGGCCCCCCAGCTCCTTGCAAGGCGCTTCAGTGCCGCTGCCGCTTCGCTTTAAAGGCGTCTGCAGCTCGGGCCCATGGTGCCTGGTGCTTTCAGAGGGCTGAGTCATCTGCGTGCGGCGGGTCTGCTTAACTGCTGTACGATATACACGGCCGCGAAGAGGTACGAGCGCCGCCCAGGGCGCTGGGAAACAGTCCCCCTGCTCTCCCCTAGGCTGCCTTCCTGCCCTAAGCTGTAGGAGACATAGCGGGAATAGCTGAGCCTTTTGCTGTTAAGCATATCCCAGAAGCGTATGAGAAGGAGACCTTTGGACCTAAATGCTGACAGGCATCATCAGAAGAAGGCTCCTTGGGCACCAAGTATGGACATAGACAAGAGAGAATTCCATACCTATTAAAACGATAACATTTTTAATGATAAGAATTAAATCATAGAATTCTCTTCTGCATCTTACTTCTTATCTCATCTGTACTTGGTTCTGAGAGTCTTCTCTTCTCATAAGCGTCTTTCAGAGTTCAGGTCCCGGCCCTCTGGAAGGTCCAATAGGCAAAATATTCCTTGTCTCGGTGCTCTGTTGCATTTTCCAGTGGAATATGGTTGTTGACCAGTGTGGTCGGGAGAGAAGCAATTGCTCAGGTGGCTGTAGCGTTAATTTTATGGAGGGCTATGAAAACCAAGCAACTTTGAATTGTGTTTTCTGCAGTTGGGAATATGTATCACTGGGTGATCAGCTTCTGTATGTTACTGTATGTTCTGTATGTTGGAGTTAGATGCTGTGTCTTTTTTACCAGCTGGAACTTTTTCATGGTGTTGGGTCTAATTCTCAGAAATGTATTGTTTAAAAAAAAAAAAAAAAATCAAATTTGATCATGATAGTGCACCTTCCAGTGGTGGCCTGAAAGGCATTTAGTAAGGTAAAGTACAATCTCCCAGCCACTGAGCTTTTACTCAGTTACATTGTTTTAATTAGCTGAGAGAAAAATCAAACAACATTTCCCTTCATTTTTGCTTTATTTTTAAACAGGTGAGCATGTAGGAGGCGGGTTTGTACAGGATTTAGTTAAAATAGCTAATGTTCTACAATATAACAGTAAGAATTTGATGCTTTGCTGTTACAGATTCCATGGGAACAAAAGTTCACAGCTGCAGAGAGAAGAGAAACTTAAAAATTAATTTAAGCTTGCAGGCAAAGTTTGGGCTGTATATTTTAGGTCCTAATCTTAAAACTTGCATGAAGCAAAAATGTCCCTTTACACGGTCCCTACGAGAAGTCGTGCTGATGCATTTTGTACTGCTTTACAAAAGAATGCTTCACAAAGTACTTTCTCTAGAAGCAACAGGTTTGGACATGTGTCAGAAAATGAAAAAGATAACGCATTTTCACTGTCTCTGAATAAGACCAAAGAAATAAATAGGACCTATGTGATTTCTGCCTGTAAAAAAGCAAGTGTTGCCACAGTTGCACCTAAACCTGAAGGTAGGTTCACACTCCAGAGACGAAATGGGGCAAGCAAAGAAACCATTTCTACTGATGATCAGTTCAACGAGAATGCAATGCAGGATTCTGGTGGTGCACAGATGGAGAAAAGACTCACCCTGCAGCGACGTGTGAGGACTGGATCAATAGAGAAATGTAAAACCAATAAAGAAAGTGTACCCAGGATAGAAACTTCTGATTCTGCAGTTGCAAATAGCCAAAATGTGTTTCCCTTAAGCATTTGTACTGACGACTCCCACCATATTAAACCAGGTCTTCGGTTAGTTGAAGGTCAGTCAAATGTAAAGTTACACATGGATCTGAAAAATAAAGATGGCCTTGCTAATATTAATGGTTCATGTGGAAACGGTAATTGTACATATTTGAAATATAAGGCCCATAGTGCTGATGCTCAAACTCAATATGAAGTCCCTAAATCAGCACAGTTAATAGCAACAAAGCCCATTAACAGGACACCGGCTATAAAGTTGAATGAAAAAGATTTTAATAAACTATCTGGGAAGGAAAAGGTACAAAATTCACTTGCAAAACATGGCTATTTAGGAAGACAAGGAATTCCTTGGAAAGGCACCACAGAAGGAATGAATGTAATATCCAAGTGTGGGATACCTCAGAATGCCAAAAGTCCAGCCATATCTACTTTGAAGAACAGGACACCTTGCCATCAAGTTATAGAGAAAAAGCAAATGAGGGCATCTAATTCTCTTTCCATAAGTAGAAGTGGAGGAGCTGAAGTGAATAACACACACGTGCCAGCTGTTGCACTTAAAGAAGAAACCCCAACTCGGATCCCTTGCACTGAGGAAGATGCTTTCAAAGTAGAAAACAGCAAAGTGACAGTAGCTGTGCGAGTACGACCCTTCAGTAACAGGTGTGGAGCCGATTATTTTTGGGTGTTCTTTGGGTACTATAAATGCACACTGTTGTTCTAGTATATGCTCAATTGACTGCTTCTTTCAAAGTAATAACCAATAGTCTGTATGTTTTTAATAAGCTAGTACATAATGTGATCTGAATTTTTTTTTAAGTATGCTTTAAAAAACATTGTTGTAGTTAAGGGTTGGGGACAGGGAACTACTGGTAGAGCAGTGACCTTTTGAATATTGTTTAGGTGAAACTTTCTTCTTTCTTCCTTCCTGAATGAATCAGTTCTTTATCAGACAATATGTTGCTTATAGAACACCTTGATTCTTAGAGAGATAAGATTGAGGTGACCACCTTAGTTTTTAATGTTGGTTTGTTTGGTCTCTTTTTATTCAGAGAAAAAAATGAAAAATCATTCCAAGTGGTTTCCATGAATGGCCCAGAGACAGCTGTGCAGCATCCAGACACCAAACAAACTTACAGCTTTATTTATGACTTTTCATTCTGGTCCTTTGACAAGTGTCATCCACATTTTGCAAGTCAGGAGATAGTATACAAGACTTTGGCAGTACCCTTGCTAGAAAGAGCCTTTGAAGGATACAACACCTGTCTTTTTGCCTACGGACAGACTGGTTCTGGAAAATCATATACGTAAGTTTCAGAGGAAATATTATTTCAGGAGCTGGTTTAATAAGTCACTTCCAGTTGCTAGAAGAAACTAGATTGAAATGTATTTATTCAGGTTTTGAAAATCTGCTTTAAATGTAACATTTGACTAGAAATTAAGATGCTTAGAGCTAGACAGATATTAATAGAAAAGTTACTGCATTATGGTGAAGGCTTAGTTGACTAGACAATGAAAACATAATTCAAGTTTGAGCAGTTGGTTTTTGGTAAAGAAATTGTGGTTTGGCCAGGTATAAGTGAAAAAATTATGCTGGAAAAATATACTGCATTAAAAACAGTAATAAATATACAACTACTATGGGTTTATTCAAATCTTTGCAATTGACGTTATACAAAGTTCTGTCAGTGCACAAAATAAGCTGAAAAAGAATATTTTTATCTACTCTTTTTCAGTTATAGTTCTCTTAAATATTATTTGCAAAACTTTAAAAGAAAAAAAATCAGCTCTGTCTAAATCCACTTTTATTGGCCAGTCAGTGGCATCATTATTATGCAAAACTGGTTTTACTTTCAGTATTTACTATCTGACCTGAAAAGACAAAATTGTCATCTTGTTTGTAGTATTTTTGTTAGTTTTTATTTAGGCAATTTTGTTTTCTACCATTCCTCAGTATTTTTAGTGGAACTGAAATTTAAGTGAAGTTGAAACTAAATTGTTTTACAGTGAAGTGTGTTGAATTCTTTTAAAATAAATTGGTGACTTTTTAAAAGTTCAACAAGCTGGCCTCTCTTTATTTTATAAATAAGATGTTGATTTAAAAAAAATCTTTTAAATATCTTTAGTGTGAATATCTTAATACAATTAAAAGTAAACTTGATATGAATGTTTTCAAGAAGATGGGCTTTATAGGCAGACTTTCATAGGAAGCCCAAACACTTCACTTTGGAAGCAGAGGGATAAACTGATCTGTTTGTATTAGCATTGGAAAGTCACAATTGTAAAGCAATAATTTTTATCCAACTGTATCTTAAATGGTTCTCTAATTTGTTTCTGTAACTAAATACTTAAAAAAAGAGCTCTGGGATCTGTAATGGTCTTTTAACTGCAGCATGGTTAATATTTTTCTTCCCACTGTAAATACAAATAACCTCTTTTAAAGAGTTAAAAATCTGAAAATGTATACTTTCCTAATTATAGGATGATGGGATTTGGTGAAGAACCAGGAATCATTCCAAGATTTTGTGAAGATCTTTTCCTTCAAATTGGACAAACAGATACAGAAAAGGTATTTCTTCAGAATTTTTTCTTTTGTATTGAATTAAAAAGTAGCTAGTATATTGATATTAAGGATTTGTTGTTTTGTGGGGGTGTGTTTCTCTTTTTCCTTTTTTTATCTTTATTTTATACATCAGCCCTGGTTTACTTCCTGTTTTCAGTATGCTGCATCTTAAATCTTATTTTTGCTCATAGAACTAACAAGCATGTTCTTTAGACCAGGGGTGGCCAGCTTGCGGCACACACGCTACAACCAGTATGGGCAGCCTCTGTGTGTGGCCCGTGGCAGATCTGGGAGGCAGCACAGAAGCAGATAGGGCAGGAAGAGGAAGTCAGAGCAGCAGATTAGATAGGGGAAGGGGATCAGAATGACAGCCGGTAAGAGTTGGGGACTAATTTATGGCACACCTTTCGAAAAGATTGGCCCCACTGTTGTAGACAAACGAACATATACTATCCTATGATCCCAAAGTGGGAATAACATAAAATGAAATATGTGCGTAGTATTACAGCAATTTGGGTTAAATACATTAACATAATAGGAAACAGGGAACCAAGACATAGAATCAAAGCTAGAACAACTACAAATTGTAATAACTATTAATTATAATCAACAATTTATAAATATTGTGAAACGATTTTTTTTTTTTTTTGGTCTTATAAAACCCTGGGATTATTTAAGAACAATCTTTCAAGCCTGTTCTACAAATATAATTGAATGTTTTTCTTTTTTCTTTTCTCTTGTTTTTTCTTTTAACCAAAATAGTTATCATGCACTTAAATTTAATTGATCCAATGAAGCCATAGTTGAAAGAGCATGCTTTAAATTACAAGAGTTTCAAAGCTAGACTCATGATCTAAAGGAAAATAGGAAAAAAGTCCTAGAAAGTACAAAGAGAAATATGCAGGCTTTGTCCCACTATTTCTTAGAATACTCATGTATGTAATACATCTGTTTTGATATGGTAACCAAGTGGGTCAAATGGAAACAGACTTGCAGTTGTTTGGACATCAGTGAATGCTCTCTATATATCATTGGTTTATATGGCTGATCCATTATTCTTCTTAACACTAAAATGCTCCATCCTTTAGGACAACCTTCCTGATTGGAGACTGTGTTCTAGACTTTTTATGAGGCAACATCAGTGCACGTGATCTGCTGAGTGATCTCTCTCTCCCTCTCGATAGCTAAATCTACCTAATGTTATAAAATCTACCAGGCTCCGCAATGACAGCAGGGAGAGTGGAGGGGGGGGGG